TATTCAGTTTACTATGTGAGCATGTTGGCGCGAGCTTGGTGAAGGTGGTCACAGTCAAGTTATGCGATTTGTTGCTCATAAAGTAGTTGTTACAAAAAAGAGAGTAAAGCGTTGAAGAGATAGAAATAAAAAAAGAGCAACATGAAATGGTATAAGCAAGAGTTGCCAGACTGATCATGAGATATTTTCAATAATTATTTATTGTTAGTTRAGGCCAAAAATAATAATATTCGAAAAAAATAATAAGAATAATGAAAAGATAATAGTAATAAAATTATAATGATAAAAAAATAATAATAATATTAATGACAGGAATATTTTTCAACAATTTAAATTAATTATTATTTTTCAACAATTAAATGGGTTCTCACTATTTTTCCAATTAAATTAACTTTTTTTATCAATTTTTAGTATTAATATAGTAATTGTAGCTTCAAACTTATTAAAAATTAACACATGAGAGTTTGAAAATAATTCATTTTTTGTTTGCATATAACATATTTGAGAATAATATCCGAAAATTTAAAGCTGATCCGACAWATAATTTCGAATAATCGTATTTATAAGAATTTTATAGCATAGTGAACCCTCTGAAGTGCAAATTTATTCCCAAAAAAAACTACTTTTTTAAAAGCTGCCATTTCGCCAAAAATAAAAATTTAAACTTAAGGGAGATGCATTTCGAAGATCCCTCCTTTCTGAAAAAAAACAATACAGAAACTTCAAATTTAGTGGGGAATGTTTATTTTCCTTCGAAAGAATATTTTTTGGCATATATTTTTTGAAGATTACCTCTTTCAAATGTTGACCGCGGCAACGTCTCAAATCGTCCATCGGTTGAGTCCAACTTTCGATGACTCGTTCAAGCATTTCGACTGGTAACTGGCGAAGTACACGTTTTGCTCTAAAACCTGAATCGATGTGTGATTGAGTGTGGGAAATGGCGCCGTTTTGTTGAAACCTAATACCGCCCAGATCACGAGCTTCAATTTCAGGCATCATTGATTATCATGTTACGACAATGGGCGCTATTGACGGTTATGTTCTTTACGGCATCATTTTTGAAAAATATAGACCGATGATTCCACTKACCYACAAACCACACCAAASMGTTGTTTTTTCTGGATGAAATGTCAGCTMCTGAATCTCTTCAGGTTGTCCTTATTCGCAACTGTGRCAATTTTGCTTATTTATATATCCATTGAGCCAGAAATGAACTTCATCGTTGAACAAAATTTCAAAAGTTCTTGCACAAGCTGTGTTATCGAAAAGTTTGAAGTTTTTACATAATAGCGCTATTAATTAAAATATTCACCTCGCCAAAAAATAGAACTAAGCCACGATATTATTTTTTATGACATTCGACGTGGATTAGSAACAGCAACAGTTTATTAATTAAATTTTTGGCGAAAGAGTTTCATCAAGGATCAGAACGTCAGAACTTAGCTGACTTGGCACCAAATCACTTCTTTTTATTCCCTTATTAATGGAGATTTTATGTTTTGAAAACACTATGGCGATTTTCGATTGTTAATATATTTTTTTCTTCTCTAATCTCGAAACACAGCGGCCATACCGCCAGTACGCCGGTGCAAGCATTTTAAATGGTCTCTACGTTTGCATAACGCTTCCTTTCATGGCCAAATGCATTTTTCCTAAAAGCAAAAAGTCGCACGGTGCCATATCAGGTGAATATGGAAGTGGTTAATGGTTAAAATGTGATTTTTGGTCARATAATCGGTCACATTGATGTCCTACTAATGTTGGATTCTGAGCAATTTTTGGTCGTCAGTCAATTTGTGTGGAACAAACCGTGCACACACCTTTCGTAAGCCCAAATGTTCGGTCAAAATGCGATAAATCGATGTTTTGGAGATGTTCATTTCCATTTCCATGAATTTGTGATGAATTCACGCACAGTTTCGATGGAATTTCCGGTGATCACGGATTTTGATTGGCCCACATGTTGATCGTCATTTATGCCCTTACGGCCATTTTGAAAACATTGAAACCACTCGTACACTTCACTAAGGGATAGGCAAACATCGCCGTAAACTTTTTTCATCAATTGAAACATTTCGGTAAAAGTTTTACCAATTTTAAAACAAAATTTTATGTTGGCTCTTTGTTCGAAGCTCAGTTTCGCACCGATTACACAAACATACTGACACTTAAAAGACAATRACTTCACTTCCAATCGATGAGATGTCATGAAATTCTCGCTGGACAATCGATGAAGATAGCAGATTCTAACGCATCAGTCGATATATAGATGGCGCCACCAGGSGGCGATAGATTCAAAAAGTTCTGTTTACTTTGGAAACCTCCTTGTATAAAAGTCAACCTACGTAATATCCTTCATTCAATGCGGAAATGGCGCCATAATAAGTAATTTTCCGCAAATCCATCATAAAAAAGTACCAGAAACATACTGTTTGCGAAAGCACAATGATGAATACGAATTAACTGTCAAAAAAAAATGCTTGGGAACCATAACACTTACAAAATAAAATATTTGCCACAGACACATCTGAGGCGGAAGTGAGTTCGTGGGAGTCATATTTGCCTTTACGGTAGGGATACAGTGACGCAAACAACAAATAGAGCTACTTGAATACGCAAAAACAACAATTTCCTCCCATAATGGTATATATGCATATGTGTTAGTGTGGGGAAGACAAGAGTTGCGACTATGTGGAGTATGCCAATAAGTTAATTGGTGCAAAAGATAATGTGACATACAAACACACATGCATACATACCTACTATTCATTATATTTTGCTTTTATTGTTGTAGACTAGCTTATTTGACCGCGTATTCATTTGAAATTATATATATGAGAGAGTATATAGATGTGTGTGTTTGAAGCAATTGCAAAATGACAAATTTATGTTTGGCTGTTGAAATTAAACTCAACCAGTCACTCAAGCGCGTCAATAATAAACGACATTATCTCATAGTTGGCATTACAGGAACACAATTTACCAGGCATGCGCCCAAATAGTGGGGAGTCMAGTAAAAATATAAACAAAATATCGAAACGACAAAGCAAAATAAAGAAAATCTTACAACAAAACAAGCACACGGCTTTCCACTTGTTGTTGTAGCAATTTGTTGCAGCCCCAGCGAACTGCATACAACTGCTCATATATATATATACATGTATGTTTTAGGACGAGGATAGTTCGATAAGACAGAGAGTTTTTGAATAGCAACCTGTAATTCGTAGTTATCCATTATCGAACCTTGAGCAAACCATGCTATCTCATATCTGACTAACTTTCCATTAAAATAGAACGCGAAAATTTAGTCGAACAAAGTATATCGCAGGTAGAGCTTATGGTATTCGACTAAACGACTAACCAAATTAACCGTATTATTCGAATAATAATATTTRCTTTGCAGTGTGCGGATAGTCGTAAGTCGTCGGCTATTCGATAAAATCCTCATTTTCGACTATCTGGTTAACCTTTATTTGCCGATTATTCGAAAAGTAAACAGGCCAGAGATAAGAAAAGGTCTTAACCACCCCCTTCACTCAATCTACATCGTTAACCGTCTTCAAAGAGAGGAAGTACACTCCTTGGTCGAACGGTGACCTTAAAAGCTTAASGACCCAACTTAGAGAGGTCTTTAATGAGAGTTATACATATGACCAAAATCAGGTATCCGTTTAAAGAAATCTTGAATAAATAACTACAAAAAGCTGTTAGGAAAACAAAGCCAAACTCTTGACAATCGTTCTGCACATAGAAGGCAGCAAAGAATCAGCTAGACTGAATAAGATAGTGTCTACAGAACACATCAAAAAATATATTATTTAAAGACGAGGGTGGAGTATGGACTTCCTCTGCTGAAGRATATCTAGAGGAACTTCTGGAAACCCTGGTAGGGGATATAGCCTARCATATCTACAAATGCGAAAATGTCAGGTCCGGATACCCTGTAGACGTGAGTAGRGAAGAGCTTTCGCAGAAGAGAATGAGGCAGTCACTATCTATACCGACGGGTCAAAAATGGACTATAGAGTGCTCAGCTAGAATCTTCCAAGCCAAAGTCCCAGATATAGAGAGTACCTGTGGTATTCTATTGAATAATTGCGAGATACAAAAAGCCAAGCAGCACTGCTGGCGTTGTCTAATTAACACTAATTAATTCCAGCGTAGTTAGCAGAAAGGCTCTAAACCCACTGGGTAGTCAACTCCACCTTTCCTTAAATTGGGTTTAGATGATCTGAAACAGATCTGTATACTCACTATTAATAAATAGCACAGCACAGATGGAAATCAATAAACAACTGCCTAGGTCGAGGAATAGTATTTTCGGGCTTACAACACCTATAACAGGGCACTGGCCGTTTGGACAACATTCGCCAAAAATGGGCCTGCCCAATAACAATATTTGCCACAACTGCACGCTAGAAGGCAAAAAGGAAATAGTCATCCACTGAATGATTAACACGACCCATGCGAGATCTGTCAAAAAAAAATGTTACTGAGAAAAGTAGGTCTACTTGGATCACCCGCTATATATTTGCATATATCTCGATTAGTTTTAGTTTCAACAAACAACCGTTAAGTGAACAAAACTATTATAATATCTTTTACAACATGCTGCGAGAGTATAAAATTCAGCGACTTTTCAAACAACCCTGGCATACTTGCGTACGAAGAGAGTTATACTCGCTTGAATGACGCCTGTGAGAAAAAGCTTTATGTAAACAAGTATATGAAGAAATGTGTAACACTTCCTTGTAACAATTTTCTTATTGTCTGGAACAACAAAAACAACAGCGAAACGAATAACCAGTTGCCATAGCATGCCATGGCCAAGAGCAACAAGCAAGCAATAATACCGGCATTGGCAACAGCCGAAAATACCGCTATTTAGTCAATAAACATTTTGTTAGAAATTAAGTGCATGAAAAAGAAGCCTGCAAAGCGAATTGCTGCACCAAAAATCTTCTCAAAATTAAATAAACCTTGCTAAAATCACAAAAATGAGTGCAGGTTCCAGAGCTTCCGGTTCGGATGACGAGCCTTTGGTGCCGGAAGATTTCGATGATGATTTCTATACAAACTTAATGGACAAAGTGCCAGAGGTAACGCCATTTTTAAGAAAGAAAAGAAGAGTATTTATATTCTGTATATATTTTGTTCAATAATTCTCATTAGATAACCAAAGCGCTGCGCCAAAAGGATACCCACGATAACGCCGATAATGTGCAGCGCATGGTAATTTGCTCCAATCGCTACAAGTCCGACTGGCATATGGAGCAGTTACACGGTCAAGAGCTCGACGAAGAAATAAAACGCTTGAAAGACCGACTCGAGCATGTGAATAAGTTGAGTCGAATGGATCAGGCTACGATCGCCGAGTTGCGAACCGTTATCGGTGAGTGAATGAAATGTTGAATATTTCAAAGATTTATTGGGAATTCATGTTTATTGTGTAAGCAGAAAGTGCGTGGATGCAAAAGGACGCCGCACAATCACGTGAGCAAGCCGCACAGGATGAAATGCTGAAGATGAGAGAAAAAGTAAGTTCGCTGGAGCAAATGGTGGAACATTTAAGCGATAAGCGCTCTGGACTGCAGAGGTGAGATTAAATTAAGAAGTCCTTATTAACAGAACGCAGAACGTGATTTAGCACGAATCCTAAGCCTTAAGTCCCTTTTAACTTCACGAAGTTCAAAAAACTGACAGGGGGTATAAACCACCACACAAAGGCATCCAATATTCCTGCTTAAAAATTGCATCGACCAAAGTGGCATTAATCTATCAGCGGATCACTTACAAACCCTCAATAGGATTCTAGTTAATTTAATCAGAGACGCAAAATCATTAACTCAAGTAATTCGAGATCTCTTGTTCAAGCTAGCGAGCTTTAGGGCCATATGCTTAATACCAGTACTATAGAGGATCTATCTAGTAAATAGTCATTATTTGTCCAACAAATGACTTTAATAACCTATATAGTATTTATGAACAGGATGTTGTAACAGCCAAGGTCTTGTTTTGGCTTTGACGAACTCAGCTCCAGYAAGTTTGAATCGAAAGTGCTTTGGCTGGCCAATTGCCGAAAATAACGATAAAATAATGGAAATTGCCGAATCCGACTGTCATGTAAGCACTGTTTAGAGCCAAGAGCCCAGGAGCTACAATTTACACAAAAATCTGTACGCAATGCTTCTCTCGACAAACAAAGACCAAATTTTACCACTTAATCATCATCCCTAACCTTTTATATGGTGCAGAGGCATGGACGACGACCACAACTGATGAGTCGGTGTTACGAGTTTTCGAGAGCAAGGTTCTGCGAAGGTCTTTTGTGSATTTTCAAYGGCATGCAGYCRAATTAAGACACAGCGGCTGCGCTGGCTAGGTCGTCCGAATGGATGAAAACATTCAARCTCTGGGAGTACTCGRTGCTGTACCCGCCCGGGGAAGCAGAGGAAAAGGAAGATATTCACTCTGTGGGAAAGCCTTGGTGGAGATGAACCTGGTTACACTCGGCTAAACAATGTCTATGATAATAAAGAAGAAAAATGTTCGTATGGATGTCACACGAGCTAACGCGAAAAGAGAACATGATAGGAATTTCGATCTGAGAATGGTCACTGATTTGCAACAAAATCAATCCATTTCCGAAGCGGGTGGTTACTGGTGTTGAAAAGTGTTATGTGGACATCAAGAGAAAACGGTCTTGGTCGCAGCGAGATGAACGGATAAAAATGGTAGCCAAGCTTTGATTGACGGTCTTTAATGAGTTGCTATGTGTGTGCAGATCTTGATTCGAACCTATAGCAATTAGACTGTTTGAAGAAAGGAAAGCCGAGAAATTTTCAGCTTTGGCCAATAGGCGAGTTATTGTGTTCCATCAGGACAACGCCAGGCCACACACATCAATAGTGACTCGCCAGATGCTTTGGAAGGTTGTTTGGAAGATTCCTATGCATCCACCCTGTATTCCGGACTTCAATGATTACATTCAGTTCCTGTCACTGGCAAAAGATTCTTTTGGTAAAAGAATCCGCCTTAAGTGATGCTTGGTAAAACCGCCTGTCCCAGTTTTTTGCCAATGAAGAGAAGGGTTTCTAGGAAAGTGTTATCACGAATTTACCATCAAAAGCAACTAGCAATTAGTTATTTCAAAAATTCTTATTATTAGACATGATATAACAATACTTTATTTTAAACATTTMTCTTTTTACTCTCCAGTAAACGCGATGAACAGAAGGAACGGGATAAACTCAATAATGAGATCCGTGATCTCAATAAACGTCTACAAATACAGCGACTCTACACTGCCGAAGTGGAAGCCATGACACAAACGCTGGAGGAAAAGAATAAAGCCATGGTCAAATTGCTGGATGTAAAGTTATACAATTGTCTTAAACAAGACATTCTAGGGCATTACATAAAACTCTAAAATCACAACTATTTCTAGGAAACATCCAACGAGTCCTACAAYAACCGCAAACGCTTGGACGCGCTAGAAAAAGAACTTGCGCAGACACGCACTGAAGAAACCAAAGCCAAAGAGAAAATCCTACAAATCCAAGTACACAATGCACAGTTAACCAAGATGAAAGTGCGACAAAATCTACAAATACTCTCACTGAAGACTAATCTGGACCATCTGCAGACGCAACACAACACYGTCAGCAACAAATTGGCAAAAGCCATAGTCGAACTCGAATATACGACACAGGACCGCGACGAGAACAAGCGAGCTTTAGCACAACGCATCAGTCTGCTGAAGGTGAGTAGAAGAATGTGTTTGATGAGAATTTAGCTAATAAAAAGGCGTATTTTTTGTAGTTACGCGAAGATGAAATTATCAAGCTGAAGCGCGAGAACGCAAAGCTGCTCAAAACCGAAGAGAATACAACACGGAAATTCGTCGCKCTAAATGATGCACGCGTCAAGGCTGAGGAGGAGAATGTGCGCTTAAAGTAAGTGAGAAAATATTACAAGCCTGGAAGTATTCATAGTGTTGCTTTGTTTTTGGGGGGCGCGCTTTAGAAATCAGCTGAGCACACAGGATAAGGAATTGGAATCAATGCGACGAATTGTACATCAATTCGAGAAGAACAATGAACATCTTACCAAGGAAAGAGACAGCCTGAGGAGTGACTTATTCGCAGAACATCAGATGGCCGAACAAACAGATGAACAGTTCCAAGAATCACAGCACGAAATAAAGTCGCTTAAAGAAACCTTACATGCCATGGAAGTGCGTCAGAAGAAACTGCAAGACGACTATACGAAATTGAAGAAAGAGCAAACGAAGAAAGTGGATGATATACAACATTTGGTGGATAAAATCGATGCGCTGCAAAGTGAGTATCTAATATTAATGAATACTTAGTAAACCTGCTATAAAAACCGCCGATTTCCCATTGCACTCACACACAGATGAAATACAACTCAAAGAAAACTACGAGATCGAGCTCAAGCGCACTATAAGCGACCTCGAACAGAAAGCTAGTAATCTACAACGTCWGCACGACGCCTTATTAAATGAGAAAAATAGCTTCGCTCGAAATCTACAAGCCTCCGATGATAAACATACCAAACTAGAAAAGCAAATCGCCAAACTTCAAGAAATCATCGAGAACTACAAGAACAAAGTCACACTACGTGATGCCGATATCGGACGACTGCAGCTACAAATCGACAAACTCGAAAAAGAGCGTCGATTGCTAAAGTCCGAGGTACGTTATGCACAGCTTGGGCATCAACATACACGCTGTGAACTCCAGGAACGTAAGAAAGAATGCGACAAGTACTCGAAATCGCTACAGGTTAGTTTACTGATAACCCACTCAACTTGATCAAAAGGATCGCAAATCATTCATCATTTTAGGAAGATAACCAGAAGCTATCACAGCTCAAACGTGAAGTCGAACACCTGAGAGACGAAAAGAATACCGTCTCTGCGACGCTAACGAAATGCAATGAAGAGAGTGTACAATTAAAGGATCAACTGCAAACCCTGCAAATAGCTTACGATCAGTCGGAAAAACATTACGCACAGTGCCAAGAGGATATACGACTGATGCGAGTAGAGATCAAGAATATGCGTACCGAACGTAATGTCTTGCGCAAAGATCGCGAGAATTCGGCAGATTTGCGGCAGGAGCTACTACAAATGCACAGGCTGCTCAATCAGGAACGAATCAAGGCGCGTGCCATGCAGGAAGAGATGATGACGCCAATGAATGTACATCGTTGGCGCAGTCTTAAGGGACGTGATCCGGAAAAGATGGATCTCATATTTAAAATACAAGCATTGAGAAAGTATAAAAAGAGATTATTAAGACATATGGTTTCCGAAACAATAAAATTTACTCAAATTTCAGGCAGATTCTACAACAAAACGTGTCTGCGCTGCAGCAAGAGCAAGCACTTGAGGAATCACAGCGTCTATATGAGGCGCTGAAAGAGTTCATGCTCAAACTGCCGAGTCACAAAGTACGCGCTGAGCTGAACAATGTTAGGGTGAGACCAATTTCGAAGCAGCATCTCTTAGTTTGTGAGTTATTAAGAAATTCAAATATACTTTCAGTCTACTTTGTCCAGCAAAGAACGCAAGCTGAAAGCGCTCATGGCCGAGCTGCATGTTAAAGATCTGGATGAGAAGAATAATACACAAAAGTTAGATGAGCTCAAGCTACGTCTCACCGATGCCAAATCGCAACTTAATCAAGAACGTAGACAGAAACAAAAGCTGTTGGAGGAACATCAACTTCTCGTACAAATGCAAGCACAATGCTTCTCGGCACCGCCAACAATGCAACGCACGCTCGGTGCTGGCTTTAAACTGATCAAAGGAGTTTGAGCGGACGAATAGATCAGTTGAGAAACATTTTTGAAATATAACATAATTAATAGGGTTTCTCATTTTTCTAATGYTCAGAACCAACAAAATAAGTGAAGGCCTGTATTATTTTCACTGTTCAAAGTAGAGATGGCCATGGCGGCTGGAACACAATACATGAATCTCGTTTGAAACTTTGCGATTTATAGTATAAGCTTTTGTATGAACTAAGTGCCCAGTGCTTTTAAAGTATATCTCATATTTCTTGAGGGTTCAAAGCTGAGATTATAAGATGGCTGGCTCGATGATAGCGAGATTGAGCACTCCCCGACCAACCATCAAGGCACTGTTAATAAGTTGTGAATGGTCACCTCTCTGTAAGAGGCTGCACGCCGGAGCAGTAGATCTGCTGTTAGGCTCCAACACTGCAATAATCAGGAAGTCTGAACATGGAGTTGATAGAGAGCTCCTGACAGTAAACCTTTCCACCAAACTTCTCCCAAGCTTTAACCCATCCGTAAGGAAGCWYGGTGGCTAAATGATCCGATATGAAGTCAAAGTGTGTGAGRATATYCGAATGTTCAGAWACGTGTTCTTKTTTGCTCYCTCTTCGYGCTTAAGAGCTTCCTATCCAGGAWGAGCTATAGAAATTTCACTGTATCCGTCGGGTTATTACTTCYAGTAAATAAACCCATCTCGGTTTTACTTGGGTTGATAGCGAAACCATTTCCCACTGCCTTTATTATTTACAACGATGAGAAACTCACGTCGATTCGTACTCAGGAATAGAATAGGAATAGGCAATCGCCCAGAAGAATACTGGGAATGTGGTGTTTGATTTTTGACTCGAGACGTTGTTGAAAGCTCCCTCAATATCAAGGAAAGCTTAAGCAGGAAAATCCTTAACCCTATTCACTCAAGTCATGACATGATAGTATGCAGGCATAAACTAACTTGTCTTTATAATAATTGCTCCCGATAGATAATCCCTCGGAATGCGCTTCCTTAGATAGCAGTTAGTAAGAAGGAGGAAAGACTGATTGAGTAAGAGTAATTACCTTAACAACCGACGGCAAGCCACTATGAAAAAGTGATAAAGAGTTCGCCAAAATAACTAAAAAGTTCTCTTACATCAAGATATCTACTATTGCTCGAAAGCAATTCTAGCTTCCAATTATTGCGATATATTACTTCTCGCAATCTCTGAGATCCACTTGAAAGCTAAGAGTAGAGACCTCACTGAAACGGTTCAAGAATTTTTAAGGTTTCATAACTCAGTCGACTACATAAACTCAGTTTAGATGGTTGCTTTAAGTAAGCTTTATGTATATTTCAACATCGGTACTTTGGAAATTCTGGTTCAAAAAGCTCTCCGAAACTTGTAAACAAATCGAACTGATACTGGGAAGTCGAAAATACTATACGTATACGATGATTTCAACGCCCCAGTATCAATACAAATGTTTATATAATTTCCAAAAAACTCTTCAACCAAATCACAGCATTTCCTGTGTAAATTTTTCATATGTTTTKTTAGGATTTTGCTTTTAGAAATGCGTCTACCAAATAAGTATCTAACCCTACCTCGGCTTACCACATAAAGAAATAAAATTTCTACTTAAAAATATAAAAGGTGGTGGACTCGGCATCTTTTTTAAACAGTCAAACCAGTCTTGAGCTCCTGCATGTCTTGACTCGGATCGCTGGTCTCAATAAATATACAATCCATATAATTATCCTGGCTGGAGTAGGCGTATGGCACTACGGCACTCGAAATGGCGGATTGTGTGGGTTGTGTAACGGTTTCTTCTTCACAGTTTTGTTGCTGCTTCGTTTTCTTCAGCGTCTCTTTGAACTCGTCAATGATGCATTCGCGTGCTTTCATCTCAATTTGATTGATCGAGAGCTCGGCGCTCAGTGCTTTCAACTTTTTCAATTGTGAGCGATTTATGCGCTAAGAGAAGTGAAAATAAAAACGAATGAAGAGAAGCAGACAGGGATTACTATTTTGTGTCTTCTTTCCTCTTGATGTTGATGAAAGCTCACCTGCGTTACCACAAGCTTTTGTTTAACATCTGTTGTTGGTAGATTCTCCACAACTCGCTTCAGCGTATCACAGACACGATGGGACTCTTCTAGCTTCTGCTGCAACTTCTCTTTTTGTATCTCTTGTTTGAGGTTACGTCTGAAATATAACATTTTACAATGTTAGTCAGAGCTTCTCGGAGCTACTTTGAAATGAAAATCTGTTTATACTCAAGTACTACTTAGTGAAGCTTAACCTCATTGGTGGTATATGGAGGAAGAAAGGATCTCTGTTTACGCCCTATTATCTCCTTTTTCACCACTCCTCACTCACCTTTGCAACATTTGCACCTTCTCCAGCAACTGATAACGATTTGGATCTTCGCCTTTRAGTATGCGCCAACGATGCACACCAGTCGGCGTCTTCGCATCCTCTGTCAACGAACGTACTTTAATGCGCTCCTGATTCAAAGAGCGCTGCAATCTTATAATCTCTTCACGCATATCCGCTGTGCTTCGAATGGCGCGCGTCAAGCAGTCACGCTCCGTTTGCAAATTAGTTATTTCCATTTTCAACAGGCGTATATCTTCGACGCGCTGATTGTACTGTGTCTGACCTTGATCCAGCGCTGTTTGCGTATTGTTGAGTTTATCACGTAGCACGACAATCTCATCGTTGCGTCGCACCATCTGTAGACCAATCAGATTCTTCTCTTTGCGCGTCTCATCGAGATCATTTGACATTTTCATGAACTTCAGCTCATCGTCGTGTATGGTCTTGTGTAGATTTTCGTTCTTCGTTTTCATTTCACGCAAATCTCGACGTACGCTCGCCAAGAGATTCTCTTTGTTTTTCAACTCACTCTGCAGTTCYTTTTTATCGTTGTTCAAACGCTCTATTTGCAGATTGAGATTGGAGATCTTGTTTTGATTCGACATAATTTCGGCAGTGAGTTGTTGAGTTTGATGATTGGTTTTCTGGAAGATTTAGTAGTAATAAGTTTTGATCATTGTCACGCTTGGGTTGGGTTAGGTTAAGAGGTCGATCTCAACAGGGACCTGATTTAGACAGATTAAAACGCCGGTCCAAATTGGCACAGTGCTTTGAGCCTGCCACAAATATATTATCTAGTTCTTCGAAACTGTTGAGGTGTTTCAACCTCAGTATTGCAAAGGCTGGAAAGTGGAGTAGAATTTGTGTGGCTCAACAGATGGCACACCTCACCGTCTGTACCTACTGTATGGTGTCTGTACTTCGGCACAAGCGTAATTTCGGCGTGCCCTTGTTTGGACCCCTTCATATACCCAGTTTTCCTGAACCTTAGTGCGCCATAAGTGTTGTGTATAAAATGACTGTAAGGATCTCTAAAAATTCAAAATCACTCAGTTGTTCAAAGAAAGAATGAATCTAGTTAACTATCATGTCATATTTTAGTAGTCCGAATATTAGTGGATCAAAAGTAAGTAGGAAAAACATTGCTCTTTCTTTCTTTCAATTTCTAAATTGTTCACTTACCGTTTGTAGAATGCGAAAATTATCACGCTCCTGTGTGCATGTTTCCAAATTTCGTCTGAGTATCATTTTCTCTGAGTGCGCCACTTCCAATTGTTTTTTGACGTTGATCAAGGAGACGTGCTTCTGCTGTAGTTTTTCACTCAGATCCGTAACTTGATTCGATTTAAGTTGAATTTGTTCTAAATTGAAATTTTTGTTAGTAATATACTAAAAGAACAGTTAAAAATCGCCATTAAAAATGATGGACTACTAATTTCCATTGACTCATTCCTATAATTTTGTGTTTTGATTCTACAATTTCAAAACTTTTTTTGACATTAGCTTCGTCACACTCTTCTATTGTTACCATTGCTACCAAAAACTTTTAAACAATTTCCCAATCTTGGTTTCTGGTTATCGATATATGTTAATATTGCTATCAAAAACTTCTAAAAAAAGATCGATCTTAGTATTTGGTTGTCGATATGTTACTATTGCTATCGAGAATCTTTAAAAAAATTATCGATATTGGTTTTTGTTTAATGGTTATCGATTTTTTTAATTTATCGATATGGGTTACTGGTTATCGAGATTTTTAAAAAAGTATCGATCTTTGTTTCTGGTTATTGATAAATGTTACTATCGCTACTATTAAAAAAAAACGTATCGATATAGGCTTCTGGTTATCTATATATTTTACTTTTGCTTTCGAAAATTTTTCAAAAGTTTCTAAGTTTCTGGTTATCTACATATAAGTTAGTATCACTACCGATACTTTTTTTTTTTAATTATCGATATTGTCTGATGGTTATCGATAAATATTACTATTGCTACTGCAAATATTAAAAAAATATATCGACCTTGGTTTATCTTTACCGATATATGTTACTGTTGCTAATAATCGATATTGGTTACTGGTTGTCGACATATGTTTCTATTTTGGAAATTCTCTATCCTGATACTTTATATTTTTTTTTATCACTAAAGTAAAGCACTTACCCTGTTGATATTCGATGCGCTCGTGCAATGTCTCTACCTCTTGGGCCATTTCGTCGCGCTCTTTCTCAGATTTCGATACATTTATGCGCGCTTCATCGAGTTTTACATTCAACTTATTTATATCGAGCTGCAAGCCATCAATATTGATTGTCTGCATCATGATCGTGTGTTTAAGATCGGCTATCTGGTTGTTCAATTTAATGATCTCACTGCGTAAAGCTTCACGCTCGTGTTGCAAATTCTCCTTAACGCGACGTAGCTCGTCGAACTTGTAAGTGGAATTGAGCAGATCTTTTTCCAATGCGTTAATTTGGTTTCTGTGTAAAAAGAAAGACAACAACTTCGTTAGAAAATGCGAAATATTCGTTTCAAGGCCACTCACTTTAGACGTGAGATATCCTCGCCCAGTGTATGATTCAACCGATTCAATTTATACAGTTTTGATGAGATGGAGCTGTGATCTTGCAGCGTCTTTTTATATTTCTTGGTTAATTGACCAATC